CGAAGACTGAAACAATGTGATGCTTTAAGAAGGCTTAGTTTCAATCATCACTACTTACATTAATGGTAGTGAAGGGTGGCGAAGACTGAAACAATGTGATGCTTTAAGAGAATTACAAAGGAAATGGAAACCGTCTATTTACACTGAACGAGTAGGAGAAAGTAGATATTATGTTGAGATTCGCAATAAATGCTTAAAAGGTGATAAAGCGCTTTCATATGCGTTGAAACCACCAAAAGAATTATTAAGAATGATGAAGTATGATGAAGAAATACAGGTTGGAATAGTAGTTAGTTCAAAAATTATGTATAATAATAATATTTGCAACAGTCGTTCTTATTCATCATCTAAACAGAATAAGATTTCAAGTAGAGCGTCATTACAATACCATATTGAACAAGCAGTTGAAGAAACCAAACAGACTATGAAACGACACGAAATCATTACTATCGAACATGTTGCAATTGAAATTTATAGTAAAACAGAAACAATGATTTCATGGCTTAATCATAATATTTAATTATAATATGATTAAACAGTGTAAACTTTTATAACCTTTCATTATACTGTAATTTCAACCTATAAAACATAACTAGACAATCACATAAAAATCACATAAAAAGAAGTTGTTAAGATATATTAAGAAATGGTTGTGAAGCAAACTATAATGAATAATTATGGAATGACAGAAGAAAAAGCAACAGAAGACTATGGTGAATTCTTCAAATGCAACAGATGTCTTTATGATAAAACAATTGATGAATTTGGAAATGTAAAAAGTGGAAGAAGATATAAATATTGTCAAGAGTGTAGAACAAAAATAAATAATTGTAGAGATAAACGTCAAAGAAACAAACGACCCACCAACACCCCAGAACTTGATAACTACTAAAAGGGCTACCTCTTTCAAATGAAAAAAATGTATGTTTGCCCAGTCAATGAACAAGGCGACAATTTACCCAAATGATTACCTTAACGAAAACGATAAATAAGCTCCCTAAAAACCCTCTTTTAAAAACGAATAAGGGGGAACATAGATTTGAGATGAACATAAAAACCAGAACAGGCAACCATCAACAGGCTTCCCCTCAGGGCCCCTACTTTCTCCATTTTTTCCCCCCCCGGCGACGCCGACGGGGCCAAAGGCACCCAAGTCCCGGGAGGAGGAAATCACACGACTCCCACGTCCGACAGGGTTGTGAGACAAAACCTAGCGGCTCCCTCCCTTCAGGATCGCCTCCTTCGCCACCGAGTGGATTGCCGCCAGCCCCGACTTCTCCGGGTTGCTCAGGATGACCGACCACAAGGCCGTGGAGACATCCCCCAGGCCGTTCGAGGAGCTGAAGCGCATGCGGGGTGCTCGCGTCGCCCAGGACCAGCCGCTCATCCCTGGGAGGCTCCGTTGGCTCCACCCTCTTGTAGAACTCCATCCGATCGCGGATCCACTGATTGTACAGCTGCTCCGGGGGCTCGTCCATCACCAGCTGCAAGCAGCTGGCCTTATCCCTGTGCCACCCCGTGATCTGGAGCAGCCTGGTCCCCCCGCGGCTCGCCTTCCAGAAGCCCTTGCAAAATCTGCAAATGTAGCCCCCCGTGGTCTTGAACTTTTCCTTGCTCACCACTTCCCAGGCACTGATGCTTGGCAAGACCAAGCCACACTCCACGGAGCCCCAAAACACGTGCTTCGCCTCCTTGGTTCCAGGCTCTCCAGGAAGGGCACCGCCTCCTTCCTCATCTGGAGAATGTTGCCCATCCACTTGTCCGAGGTCGTCTTCACAATCAACGGGAAGGTGGTCCAGGCCGAGTAGATATACTTGAATGTGAACCTGTGGGCGTACACTCCCGTGAGGCTCGGCAGGTCCCACGTTCTCGTCTGTCTGGTCCAAAACACCCCATCACCCTTCGCCCAGAAGATACCAACCACCTGCTCCGGTGCCGGGCGCTCGCCCCGGTTCACCTGAGCTCGGATCTCCAAGCCCGTGTAGATGACTGGGTCGATGTGGTCCTGCTCGCACGTCAATGGGTGAGTCCTGCGCTCAAGGGCCAGGAGCTCCTCCGGCGCGAGCTTAAACTGCTGGTCAGCGCCCCGGGGGATCTCACCGCTTGCGTGCTTCTTCCAAACCCCCCCAAACATCCGAAGCTCTCCCTGGTGCCGCTTCATTGCCCAGAGGATAAGGGACAGCTTGCCTTCCTCAGAGTCCAGGTCCTGCTGGGACATGGGCTGGTCCCCCCCCGGGGCCGGTGGCACCCTTGGGGGGGGCCGGTGCCTCCAGCTCGGGCATCTCCTCCAGCAGTGCCTCCTGGTGCCACGGGTTCTGCGACGCTCTGAGCATCCTGATGTAGGGGACATACTTCTCCTTGATGTCCCCCACCGGGGGGATGTCGTCGGGGTCATCCAGCTCCAGGGGGCAGAATAGGCCCCTCTCCAGGGCCTTCCTGAGATCATCCGGCCACGCCGACACTTCCAAGGAGTGTGGTTGAGCATCCATGCCTGGTTGGTGTCCTGGGTTCGCTTGTTTGCCGCCTGAGCCCCATCGCCTCAGCCAATGCCTGGCTGGCGTCAACGCCCTTCCCCTCCAAGTACTGATCTCTCAGCTTGGCCTTGAAACGCTCCAGGTTGACCTTCCTGAGGGCACGGGCTCCCTCATTGGCCACCTCATCTGACGGCAGGGCCTGCATGCCCTCCTGGAGGGGCGCCAGGATCGCCATCTCGTTGTCCAGCATCTCCTCAGTGACCAACTCCTTGTGCCGCCGTCTGGCCAAGGCCTCCTCCGGAGCAGCTCCTCCTTCTTCCTGATCGCCTGGTCCACCTGGGGATGGTAGAGCTCGAAGCTCTGAGCCTCCGCCTCCTTCAGGGACCGCTGCACTTTGACCTTGATCTCCTGGCTTTCCCGGACCTTCAACGCCTCGTCGCCTCCATGGACAGGATCTCGTGCCGGATGTCCACCCGCCTGTTAAGCGGGACCGCATCTGCCATGGTGATCTCATCCGCCGAGTCTGTTTTTGGAGGGGCTCTCCCCAAGACCGTGCCGTCCACCAAGTTGCGGTCGGCCTGTGCCCGGGTACCACCGGGGCCAGCGGCACCCAGGCTTCCCCATTCCCGCTGCTGGATCCAGGTCGGCTTGCCCTCCAAGATGAGCAGGTTGTAGGTGCCGTCCGCCTCATAGGTGGCCGAGGGTGCCTGGAAGGGGGCGAACTCCTTGCCGGGGCAGACCCAGCACTGCTTGGCTGCCTCTGGCCACCCCGTTCCGCATGCCTTGCACATGAACTTGTAGTCGGAATGACCTGCGTCGAGCCTGTGCGCCTTGTTCCTCTGGAACTGCGAAGCCCAGACCTCCTCCTGGCGGAGCTGGATCTTCATTGGGACGTACGCCTCCAAGATGCGGATCACCAGGTCCTCCGTTCCGTGAGGTTCTTCCCAACAAACTTGTGAAACAGGGAGACCGCCTCCTCCATCGTGATGTCTCTCAGCAAGGTGGCCGCCGAAGCTGGAAGGACTGGAAACAGGTCTGGGAGGTCCATCAGCTTGAAGTACCCGGGTTTTCCGTCCACCGGCAGCAAGGTGACAGGTTTGTTGGCCTGAGACGTAGCCTTCTGAGAAGCTGCCACGAAGCCCTTCAGTCTCTTAGTGGGTGGCGTCTGCGCCTCCTCCGGTGGTGTGGCCCGCTCCGTGCCGTCCACGTCCCCCATGTCCTCGTCGCCCTCCTCGGCGGGGCCAGGGGCACCCAAACCGGGAGTCGGTGTGGCAAATGCCACTCGGAGACGCTCCAGTGCACTGGAGAGGTCCTTCATCACATCGGTCGCCGAAGCTGACGGGGGGGGCCTCGGGCTCGTCCAAAACCAAGCCGGCCGCCACTGCCGCCTCCCGTGTGCGAATTTCCTGGGCCTCCTGGCTGGCCATTTCAACCTCCTCCACGGTGAGTGTCTGGTCCTCAATCAACTCAAAGGAAGTTGCCGAGGTTGCCGAGGAAGCCATTGCTTGGTCGGGGTTATGTTCGAGAGTGCAAAAGATCAAAGTTTTTCAACCAGCTTGGGTTCCAGGAACCCAGAACAATGCTTGAGCCAAAATGGCACATGCCATTGTGGTCAAGCATTCCACACACAGTTCATGTTTCCACATGCGTTTCAACATTAACAAAGACTTAGGCAGCTGAGGTTTCCTAAGCGAACCACCCAGTAGTTTTCACCATGGCATTTGTCGAGTGTGTCATCTGATACAAACATGAGTCCTGGGTGAACTATAACGACCTCACACGACCTCACCCCAAATGGTGGTTTATGTGGGGAATAGTCCCCACCTATTTCAGGTCGGTGAAACATTATAATTCACCCAGATGAGTTGTCCCGGTTCGAAGTCGCTTTGTTGGAACCCGGCGTTGAGTCCCATTCGCAAAACAAATATGCCGTTACCTGATGGTGAGTCATTTCCCCATGTCCCGAACGCCAAACCGACACCGCTTTTTTGCTGCAGCCAAAACCTCTCCTACCATATTTGCGTCCTTGAAGTGGAGACATGGGCTACTGACAACAGGGTATGCACCTTAGGATACCCCCCCCCCCTTTTCGGGTGGTGGTGGACAATCCCCATGTTTACTGATGTCAGGGTCCCAAATGAAATGTCATACCCATATTGCCAGTTTGGGTTCGGGCGCGGCCATCCAAGCTTCCCATGCAAAAAAAGAAAAACTGTGGGAACTGTTCCATGTCCTCGTGACCGCAATCTTTGTCAGTCGCTCACAAAGGATTTATTTGCAACATGCTGAAGTTTTAGGGACGTTGGAGGGAAGGATTCGGAGCACCGAAGCACTGGATGACTTGCCACAACCCCGAACTGGAAATCTAAGAACCCCTGCCCTTGCCGCCTTTCCAACACACGCTTGGTTTATTTCCAAGAGGAACCCTGCACTTTCACAGGGCAAATCACTTGTCATCTACCTTTTGAGGGTCCAACCCTTCAACTGGCAGCACGATGCAAACCGAACGGTGCTTTCCGTGGGAATCTAGGACTCCAGGACCCCCTGAAAAGGCGGCAGAATCTGTAGTAGAGTGTGTCTGGTATTAAACAAAAAAGAAAGTGAATGATATGAATCTATTTAGAAAGGAGTTTACAATCTATCAGTATGAACATATACAGTGGATTCGCATTTGTTGAATATACCATGTGAATATGATTTCTCGATGATATGTTTCACATTTGTCCAAGCTATGGGTGGCTGGGTGTGTGTGTGTGTCAAAATAGGGAGACCATGGAGACCTCAAAATGGCGGTTTCCTTCCAAACAGGGTACCTCAAACAAGGCCTCTCCCCACGTCTAACGCGTTTTTCCTACCCCCCCCCCCCCCCCCTCCCGGTCCTTGTGCACGTGCATGGAGTACAGCAGCTTGGGCTGCGTCACCAGGCATCGGGTCACTAGGCCCTCCAAGCCTCGATGGAAGCAGCGAACCGATCGGGCGGCTAAGAAGCCCAAGAGGGAAACCAAACTTCCAAGGAACCCAGGGATTGTATAAGAACCACGGGAAGCAAGGAAACCAATCTGAGTGGTATAGGAGGGAACCCAGCGATTGTTCTAGGGCTACCTTCCATTTCCATTCTTTTCCAGGGATCCGAGTCTTTTAAGGAAACCATCAAAAACATAGGGGGAAACAGATCCGGTTTTTGAAAAGAAGGATGGTTGAAAAGAATGGGGAATCAACCCCTAGAAAACTGGCTTCTTTTCTTTTGGGGGGCGGAGGTCCTCCTATTTTGATGCATACCCGAACAGTGGTCCCCTATGTTGATTTCCTCTTGAAGCCTACAATGCTTGATTTCCGCTTAAGCTGCCTGCAAAGTGTTTTTCTTTTTTGTTTCCCATTTTAAGGGTGGCTTAGGGGAAAACCAAAGACATCCATGCGCAAGGTCCAAATCCCGAGTTTGGGGGTCGGGGAGGGGAACACCCCAAATCATCCAAATCCACCAAAATACTTCCGCAAAACTCAGCCACGCAGCAGCACAAAAGGTACGTCCACGATCGAGTACCAAACAGTCCATAAAAACAAACTCATCCGTTCACAGTCTGGAATTGGCTTCGGGCCCCTTTTCTGAAGGTACTTGTTCGGGGTTGTTTTGAAGGACACGTTCAACTTGGTCAGTTTGGATGTTCTGGGAGTCAACGGAGGCGATGAAACTTCCTGGCCAGCTGGATGGTTCGTTTGGGGTTCCGACTCATTCCTTCGAGCTTGAAGGACAGAGTTCGGAATGTTTTCCCTTGCGTCCCAAGGCAAACTCACCCATGACGCGAATATATAGGGTTTCATCCCACCACCCCCCCACCACCCTCCACCACCCCCCACCACCACCCACCACCCCCCAACCACCCACCACCATCCCCCACCACCCCCCACCACCCCCCCACCACCTCATGGTCTCCCCGAAGGCCCGAACCTTTTGCCTGGGCGACCTCAATGCTCTCAGCTTCCCCGCACATGAGCTTGCCCGTGCTGGCCGCCGTCATGCCCCTCGGCGTCACCTGAAGGTCGCTTGGGCAAACTTGCCCCCAGGTATCCCAGGCCGAGTTGCGCATAGGATGGGTGGGGCAATAGGATGGGTGGGGCAAAGGTGTGGAGTGGATTACTTCCATTTGATTAAGACCCCTGCAAAAAAAACAGTAGTGATGGCTTCCCTTTAAAGCCAACGGGGGAAACTAAAACATATTCTGAAGCAAATGAACGATTACAAGTTCAGGGGCGCACTTTGGGAGTTGGGGCAAGCGCCAAGTAGATCCGCATCCCCAGAGAGATTAAGCCGGTTTCACGTTGCCAGGGTGTTGTCTTCGGTCTGCCGGGGAGTTCAGGTATCATAGAAAGGTGTATTTCCCAACGTGGGCCATACTCAGGAGCTTCGCTTGGGGGATAGACGTTGTGGGTAGACGTTGGGGCATGCCCACAGGTGCATGCAGTTGTTTCCTTTGACATGTCAATGTGGCTATGAACATTTAATAGGGAACGCCCTGGCCAAATCATTGGTGGGCTTATAAATCCATGCGTTCCATTGAGAATCCGGGCTGTGTAACCCGCACCTCCACATGCATCCTCAGTATCCCCCGCTCGATTTTTGGTTGGACCGCAGAAATTCGAGCCCCGCTAACCCCAACACAGCCTGCCAGTTGAAGAGAAGATAACTGTTCGAACGCACAACATTGTGCATGCTTCCTCAAAATTGAGGGGGATTTCCGCTTTCCGTTAGTTCAAAGGAAAACCACCAAGAAAAACTACAATTTGTTGGGTCCCCCTAATTTAACGCATACCCACTCGAAGCGCCGAAGACGGCAAGTGCCGGGATCCCCCGCATGGTTGCGTCCAAATGCGCCCTGGACATCCAGCCGCAGCGGCTGAGACAGTGCCTTTACCGCCTGGCTCGAACTCGGCGTCAGTGCAAAAGTCAGTCTTCCTAAGGCACCCGAAGTCTCCTGATCTAGGTCCTCCAGTAGAGAGGTTAGAATAAGGGTACCACATTTTTTCTGTAGTCCATTTTAGTAGGGGAACCCTCCCCCAAAAAAGGGTAAAAGGGCACTGCTGGGAGACCTAGTGAGTGGCTTCGAAGAAAGGGTTTTTTTGGTTTTTGAAGGCCTCTAAAATGGGGCATCCCTTTGTGAATCAACGGAAATGCTGACCACTCCACAGCCCGAGCCTGCACTTTCGGCAGACATCCCTGATGGAACCCAGGATTTTCAGCTAGAGATTTAGGTCATTGGGAAACTACCAAGTCTGAAGCTGTTCCTAGTGGTATGCTAGCTGATGCTTGCCTGCAGGAAAAGAAACTCTGGTTTGGGGTTGATTAGGAAACTGGGTTCTGGGTTTGCAACGCAGTGCACCAAGCAAATTTCTGGGCAATGACCCTTCCTCCCATGGTATACCTCCAGGGAGGTGCCTGAAAGACCTTCTGCTAGGGGCCCCCCTGCCAGGTACCATGCTGCCTATGGGGGAGAGTACCAGTCACGTAGAAAGGGATGCCCGAGGAACATTGGTGAGTTTGTTTTCCGTCAAAAGGGGCTGTGAAAGAAACGGAGCTGGGAGAATCAGCCTCGCGAACGGCCACGTTCCCAAGTTTTCAGTTGCCCAGGCGATCCCTGATAGAAAAGGGAAACCTTGGGCTGACCGTTTTTTTCGCGATTGACCATTCGTAAGGAAGAAGCCTCTTTGGCCTCAAACACTTCATTCTGCCGCCCTGCGAACTCTCCCCGTTTGGCCTCGGCCGAACCGGCCATCGAGTCGAGTCGAACCGCATCGAGTCATCGAGTCGAGTCGTACCCGCCTTGGGTGCCGTCTCCGAAAGGAAGCTGAGGAGTCCCTCCTCGAAGGCCGGCAGATACTTCACCGGATCCTGCTCGACAACCCGCCCGCAGTTGACAAAACCGTCAGTGATCTGGCGGGTTTCAAACGTCAACATGGCCCCCAGTGATGAGAAAAACAGGGCGCGCAATTTGCGCAAGTTGATTTTGCAGTGAGGTGGTGTTTTTACCATCGCACGACATCCCCAGCTGAGCGGTTTCTGAGGATTACACGCGAGCGAGGGTGCCCGCTTTCTTTTGGAAAAGAAGTTTTTGCGGGGCTCCGTCGCTTTCCCATTCCTGTAAAATCCAGTGACCCTGCTCTTTCACCAATGGACAAAGCGACCAGCCAGACACCCAGTGGTGGCAAGCCGAAGTTTTAGGTGCGGGAAACCAAAGGCAAGTTGATAAACAGCAAAACTTGCTTATACAAGACCTGGCAAAAGGTGACCAAGTTTGTCCGGCGGCGCTTTTCATTCAGTTGTTCGCCTGAGGCCTTTTTCAGCTTTCCAGAAACTAATTTAATTTCCATCCAACCAACAGCAATTTCTCGTACTTGGCGTGCCCAAAGTTCCGAATTGCTGGGCACTGATTACAATGAGCGCCATTGACCCTGCAACACGGTCAAGACACCTTGTGGCACAGGTTAGGATGCGCCTCGCAAGCGTCAAGCGACTTTCCCGCTTGTGACGAATTAATTGCTCCTCCTCTTCTCCAGTCGTCAACGGCCCTCTAGAAATCACGTCCCCAAAACCCAGGGCGAAACCCCCATGATTTGATTTGGCAGGCCAAAGATTGCCTCGTGAGATCGAGGTGTGAGGGGTTCAGAAACATCGGGCGGCACTTTCCCGGGCCTCCAAGACCCGTTTCTCGAGGCCCTGCTCTTCTTTCCGCAGCGCCGACAGCTCCAGCGGGATCCGCATGTCTTGGCTCGGCGCTGGCCGATTTTTTCCTACCGGAGTGAAGAAAGCACAAGGAGCGGCGCTTCACAGGGGAAAAGCCATGAAAACTAGCTGGAAAGCCTTGCAGTTTGGGAAGCTTAGCAGGTTGAGAAACAAGTCCACGCGCCCTCTTTCGCAAAGTTGTGGAGGCAGTACCCCTCAAAAAGGGTTTCCCCTGTTTGGAGATGCCTTCCGCCGTGCATCTCCCGCATCTGTCCCTGGCTATTAGATAACTAAACTTCCCGGTCTTCTTCGGCAGAACGTTGGCATGCCATGCTGTTCCTTTTCCGTGACTCTATGCTTATGCCCAGCTTCCCAGAGAAAAACATCTGCCTGGAATTCGACCCAGGCCCGCCCGGCCCGGGTGTTACAAGACTGTCCAACCCGGTAAAACCTTGGGAGTTATCTCAGGTGATGGAAGCCATGGCCAATCAATTCGTGGAACAACCTCGCTTCCTGAAAGACGAGGGGATGAAGCCTGCGTCAAGCTTCGTCTGTGAATCCCTGGTGTCAAAGTGGAAGAAGGGGACGCGGCACTGAAAACCAGGACTAGCCCAAAGGGGGACGGAACGTGGGGAAAACCGCAAAAGCACCTGAACCATGTGGGTTCGCCAAAGGGACATGAACCATCCAAAACGGGGAGTTTCTTGGCCAAACTTAGGTCCCTGCAAAAGTTCTCTGTGTCCTTCGTTAACCGGCAAAATCGAGAAACCCGAAAGGGCCAAAGGGCAAAAAAGCTGCAACCATTCGTGAGGCCCCTTTCACGGACCAACCGCCCAAATTCATTGCCTCTCGTCCTGAAATACCGCCCTTCTCCCCAGCCAAGCAGCCACCCTCTGCCATCTTGCGGTCCAGCTTTTCTTCCCACTCCTGCCTGGAAAGACCCGGCCACCCCACAGTCGGGGTCCCCCGTAGGGTCTCTTTCAACATCAGCTCACCACAAGGAATCTCACTTGGGCACAACATATACTTTCCCCCTACCGGAAGTAGGATCTTCATCATGGAATTGCTCGGTTTACCCCTCGAATCAGTGAACTTACAATTTGCCCAGAGTTCCCGTGGGTCTACCTGAGTGAGCAAACAGTATTCAGACAAAGGGACATGAAATCTTGGTTGCTGTTGACCCCTCTGCAAAAAGTGAATAACTGTTGCTGGGTTGAATGGAAATCCGACCTGCTTCACCCACAAAGTTTTACAGTCCAAAGATCCATTTCCACCAAATCCGTGGCCTAGGGGTCTAGGGATCCATGCCAGAAGCTTCTCACAAGGACAGGGGATAAGGCCATGGACCATGGACCCCCCGCCCTCGACTCACCATGGACAAAGGATCTAAGCCAGACCGGTGGATTTCCATAGGAGATCATGCCGAACGCCGCTCAAGAGGGTAGTGGATTTTAAAGGGACCCTCCCAAAACAAACGAAGGAAAGGGGAGCTGGCGCCCCATTGAAACCAACTCACAAGCGCTGCGATTGCGGCCCCTTCCATCGCGGAATTTGTTCGGCCCCTCAAGACCCCTGCAAAGCCATTCAACTCAGAAACGTGTTTTGGAGACTTGGAGTCTTTGGGAGAAAGCCGCCCTTGCAGAAAGCTGGGCTTTGGGAATTGTCCAAAGACTCTAGGGGTTACCTTCCCCATTCTTTTCAGGGATCCTTCAAAAAAAACAGCCAGCTTCTGACAAGAACCATGATTGAAAAGAATGGAAAAGGAAAAGGGAAATCATGCCCTGTGAGAGCTCACGCCCGGCTGCCTGTGGTTGTACAGGAACTCCTTGAACCATCGCACCTGGAGATCTTCGGATGGAGTGGCAAGCGGCTTTTTGGAGCCGCTGCTTGGGCTCGGGGGCTCCGGGGCTCTCGGAATTGGGGTGGGGCTCGGGGCCCTATGGTTGTTTTACCCTAACCGTGGAACCGTCATACTACTATATACAATGGACAAGAACTAAAATAATAATGGTCAGACTACTAATAACTGGGTCTGGAATCACAGGTTACTCCCTGCCCACTGGCCAGGTGGAAAGAGGGGACCCTTTTTCAACCCACCGCCCGTACAGTACCTGGGATGTTGGGGGCTGGAAGTAACACGCCTTTGCCTCTTGGGAAAAAGGGGCAATCCCGAAAAGGAATCAACGACACCTGAGAACCGGCTTCCAAAAAAAGAAACAGGAGTTGTCTCAAATTGGGGGACCCCAAAATGGCTGGGGTTCCTTTTGGTTTGCCTTGAAACCACCAACGGGTTCCCTTAAAGACAGCGAGGTCTGGGAGGGTGCTCCCCCAAAGGTCAAAGGTGTTCCACAAAAGTTCACCGTTCGCGTGGCTCAATTTTCCCCCCCCAGGTTCTTCCTGACCGAACCGGCGCTCATCGAAAGACCCGGAACTGGATCTTTCAAAAGGTGCAGTAAGAAGCCAAGGAGGCCATCACCGGCTCAACCCCTCGGGCTCTCGGATCAAACCAACGTAGATATCCGAAACCTCCTATGGCATGCTTTGGTCAGCATTTTTACGAATTCATCTATGTGTTGAAAGACAGATCCTTGGTGTTCCAAGGGCACGCAAAAACCGGGTCCTTCTTGATTCTGCTCTTGGTTGAAAAAGGAAAATCAGCCAAAAGGCCTGCTTTTTCAGGGTCCTGGAAGATCAAGGGATGTGTCCAAACTTGGACCCAGTCAGCCGGTTCCAAACCCAGCTCCAAGGAAACCAACTCATCGGATTCGGGCTGTCGCAATCACCTGGTGTAAAGAATCAAGAGGCCTTCTTGCCCCATTGGTTTTGGACTGCTCCCTAACCTTCACTTACACCTTGGATTTGATTTGGGTGTGTTGCTCCGCAAGGGGCCAGAGCAAGCCTATGGCTCCAGCCGTGGATTGGTTGGTCGGTTGCGCGCTCGCCTTCTCATCGTGGGCCTCCCTGGTCGCGGTGCCTGCGTCAGCAGCAGCCATGGGTGAACTGGCGAGCCGCGAGTGGCGAGTGGCGAGTGGCGAAGCGACTGGGCAGATGAATGGAGGGGGTGTGTCGGTGTGTTGCTTCTCTATGCCCAACTCCCAGCTTTTGAGCATGACCCCCATGAAAAGGATCCTCATGGTAGGCGTTGGTTCAGTTGGTGGTGCGGGAACATGGGATCGGAACCCTGCGTCCTGGAAACCCACCGCCGGGCTTCAAGCTGAGTTTAGGATCCTTGTGGCGAAGTGTCAAGACCTCCCAATTCCCAGTTTCCCCCCACCTCCTGCGGGCCATCCTCCCCCCTCCCCACCCACCACTCCGCCAACCACCAAGGCCTATAGTTGGCCTCGTTTGGCCCCGGTTATGTTTGGTCAACAAACCATCTTGGCCTTTTCAGGGCAGGGCAACATGGCAGGGTCAGGCAGGAGAGCGGTGCTGGTTGGCCCCAAGCAAAGGGACCCACCCAAACTTGCTTTTTGACCAACTGAAGAAGCTGCCTGGATTTTCCGGGCTCATGTAAGCCCCAGATCCGTTTGGGTGCATCGCAACCTTTGGGTCTTGGCGGTTTCAGCTTGAGCAGAACGGGCTCCAAGTCAAGGTTGTTGCAAAACCGAAAAGTATTCCCTTGACTCCCCCCTTGGCAGAGGTTCATGAAACGGATATCCCAAGAAAGATGGGTCCCCTTGATAAACCCGGCACCGCCCAGCCTTCTTCCCAAGCTCAGAAACAACACCCTTTGAGCTGCAAGCTGCTGCGGGGAGTGCTGGATGCTGTGCGCGCGGGGGCAGAAGGCGAGCCAAACCGTTGTCTGGGGCCCCGCTGACCCCCTCCAAACAGTTCAACTCAAGCCAGGTTTGTTCCACCCGCCGTCTCGCCAGGTTGGGAAAAAGAGGGAACAACCGTGGAGTTCAGAATGGGCAGTTTCAAAACCAACATGAAAACTCACAAAACAGCTATGACAAATTGAATTACTCGAAAATTGGTACTCGGCTTATAGACTCAGCCCAAAACCCACACGCGCACACACGCACACCGTCAAAGAAGGCGAAAATCCACAACCGCGCACGGCCGTCTGTGCGCCGTGGTCCAACTAGGTGTTCGGCCCAGCAAGTCATTAGTAACATGGGCTGTAACCCACAACATGTTTAACTCCACTTAGGGGACTTGTAAGTGGGTTGCCTTGCTGACAACTTAACTTGGCCGACCGCCCAAGTCGATCTTTTCTGACATATCGGTCGAACTGACCTGTCAATATGAAAACCACTGCTTGCTGGTGGGTTGGCAACTTTCGAGCCGGAAAAAAAACAAAGCTGGACGGACCTGGGCATCCTGACTGGTCAAAGCCAGTTTCAGGAGGATATTTCGGTGCCAAAGGGCCACGAACCCGCGAAAGATTCAATCCTTTTGAGCCCCCCCCCCTCTCCCCGTTAATCAAAGTACAAGCTTTGCATGCCTCCGCCAACAGATTGAAAACCACTCGTTTGTTTGTGCTTCGTGGCGCTGGCTGATCATTACTAATCACTTCGGCCAAATGCCATCCGAGGTTCACTTTGAGGGGACGAGCAAAACCGGACATCGCATGCCGCAATACAAGGATAACTTCCATTTGCTTAAGCCCCCTGGAAAAATAAAATATGTCCAGCAGTGATAGATTGCCTTTAAAACCAACAAGGGAAAACAAACAATACCATTAAGCAAATGCAAGATCAAGTCCAAAGGGGTGGCCCCTCAGGGCATCCTACATCTGTCAGAAGGCAACTGGGTAACTCAGCTCTCTATGCGTCACCCAACTCGTGGTATGGCAACAAATGGTTTTGCTCAAACGCATCCAAATGAACAGAGCCAAGGAGTCCCAAAACAAACTTCATGGGGCGAAAAGCTGAAGATGAGCCGAGACAAAGAACCAAAAACCCAAAGCCAGCGAAGCACGGTTGCCACGCTCAAGACACGTACCACAAGCAACGGGCCAGTTCACAGCATGTGGGCAAGTGACTGTTCACAAACCGGAAATACGAATAGGATCTCCAAACATCCCCTTCTGATGACTCTCCTTTTGGGAAATTTGCCGGGGAATTTGCTTCCCAAGTACGGAGCTTTCATAGGTGTTTTCTGCTCGCTCGAGTCGATGAGCTCGAATCGATCGGGTTCCCAAGCAGCGCCTCCGATAAATAGGCGCCAGTACAAGCGCGTGGGGGTCCAAATGGAATAATTATCTGAAAAGTGATGGCCTTTGGCTTCAGACCTCTGGGCTTTTACAGGGTCGGTAGCCCATGTAACTACAAGGTCTTGGGTCCTGACGTTGGGGCTGCGTCTTCAAATGGCTCCATGAATTTGCAGAGTTGAAATCCCCACCATGTCCAAAGGGTCTTTTTGTTGAATTCACGCCCTGGAGCCCAAGGAACGGGGGGAGGTTTCCCGTTTCCTGAGACACAGATGGTCAGCGCAGAAAACGCCCTCGGGGCTGAAACTTGGGGCTCCCAGCTGCGGTGTACACAATCGCGGCACCAAAGGGCAAGCCTTAGCGCGCTGGCCTTGCCCTTCACAACCCTTGGTATGGGCTTGAAAAAACACTTTGGTTTTTGCAGCTCACTTAAAATGAACAGAACCAAGACATGATGAAAACCTAAAAGCAATAGTGATGCCTAATTACTGGGGGTGTGTCAAAGGGAGACCAACCCAAAATGGGCCTGAGGTGTCCTGTTGTCCCAATCAAATACCAAGGGGGTCCACCTGTTGGAGAAAGAACTCGCTATGTGTGTCTTGATTGAGGGTACCCACTTTGGAAACCACCAAATTATAACAAGCCCCCAAACCAGAATTAAGAAATGGATCCGAGTACAGGTCCTTCATCGTGAGCTCGTTTTGCCCTCGAACCGGTGAAATCGCTCGCCCTACAACAGGCAATCCTCAAGGGTCCCTTGGTAGTGGATGTACTTTGATCCCTTCCCTAAATGACATGAGTGTGTCTCTTTTGACCCTAGGTCGGGTAGAGAAACTCAAACCAAAACCGAACCCACCGGGGCCAAACACCTGAGCCGCCCGGCACTCGTTGCGCAGGTAGGCCTCGATGGTCTCGCTCCAGCCCAGCGTCCTTGGCGGAGAGCCCGGTGGTGTCCAGCTTGTGGGCTTCAAAGCCCCAAACCCATCCAAACCGCCAAGTACTGTGGATGGACGAAATCCACTTCGCACCACCGTTCAGAAACCCTGGTTTCGGATGATTCCCCCCACAGATACCAACAAGCAATGGTGTCCCATGCTTTCAAAGTGGTGCAGGATTTCGTCATTCACAGTAGGGACCTGAATTCTCTTCATTGCGTCTGCCCTCTTTCATTGATTTATTTTGTTCAAAACACGTTCTGGAACCCGAGGAACGGGTCAACAAAGGGAGATGATCAAAGGAGAAAGGTCCTTTTGCAGTCTAGGTCCAACGGAATGGCCGAAACGGTCAGTGCATCACGGCCTGGTGAGGCCTTAAGGCCTTAAGGGCTGCTTTCCGAACCGCTTCCCAACATCACCCTTCCGCCTTGCTCCCTGAAAACCTCCAGGCGTTCAGCTCCCCTTCTTTAAGGCCTGGCTTGGCGATGGGGGCCCTGTTGGCGAAGGCTGCTCCGCATTTCTTGACGTTGGGTTTGGGGAGCAAAACAAATCAAATTTTAGCAGTTCAGTGGTTGGAGTTCAACCACTAAACCACAATAAGCAAAAATACGTAAAATGTTTCCCAACAACGACCATGATTTCCTCCGGTGTAAAGGGAAACAAAAAATCCATTGTTGGGATCACTTCTAGGGGCCCCCGTGTTTGAGGAGAAGACGCACATGGAGCCAATAGAATCTACTACACACATATTCCACGGAATTAGACCCATTCAATAGGGAACATCCCAAATGGTTGTCCACCCCCTTCACATTCAATCGAGTCAACCACTTGCAAAAGTCCGGAGTCGTTGGGAGTAGGTGGGAGTACTGTGCAGTTCAGGCTTGGTGACATTTGAGTTGTAAATAGGGGTTTGAACATATAGGCTCTTGGAAATGTGTCGAGATTTTTTTTGGCCTTGTATCAAGCAAGAGGGGGTCCCTTTGGCTTCAGCCGCACGCAAATGGACGCATTGGTGTGCATCAGAAATACATGGGGCTTGTGTCCACCATTTCGAAGGTCCCCGATAAAATATGTTGCCACATTGACATGTTGCTGTAGTTGTATTTTGAAGGTCCCGCCTGAAATCTGCTTCCAAGTGTTGCTGAGTCAGCAGTCCCGGATTTTGGCATTTGTTTTGTTGCGAGTTCATGTGAGCTTTCTCTGGCTTACTAAAACCTGCAAAACATGATGCTGGGGTGCTGCCAGCACAGCAGGCAGCTTCGCCGGCAGGGGCGAGATCCCTGCCTGCACTTCTGAGCACTTGTCAAAATCTCAGAATTTGGGGATCACCAAGGTGGTCCTGCAAGGTGGAGGCGCTTCCGCAATCGGCACAGTCACATAGCCCTGAGCAATTTCTGTAAGCAGAATGAGGCGCGGCAGTTGTCAACCGCGCATCTGGGCCCAGGGCTGCGTAGCACGCTCGTGGTGGTGGGAGGGATATTCCCCACAGACACCACCATTCCCAGGCTTGGATAGTGTACAAGGTGCAAATGATAAACTGGCCGTTCGTCGTTCCAGCGCTGGACCCTGCGGATTCGCAAGCTGAGCTCCAAGGAACATCAAGAGCAAAACCACAGAGAGGAAGCCCATCAAGGGCTCTCACATTCCCCCAATTGGTGCGCTTCTCTAGGTTCCATTTGGACCAATGGGTAAAAAAATCAGAACCCTGGCAAGTGGATGGACTAAAACCCTCGCGGTCCATAGTCTGGTCTAATTTTGACCCGTACCCATTTCTTGAGGACCCTGAAAAAGAATGGGATACCCCCCGGATGCTTTTGTTTCGCCTTCCAAACTTAGACTCGCTTGGAAGCAAACACCTAATGCACAACTGGCCAATTGTGTCCCAACCCTGCATGATGGACTTGCCCTCTCGGTGCTTAGCAACCACGGTAACTTCCTTCTTTGAAGGCAAGCAACCGCCCAAAAAGCGGGTATTGACGGTGCTCTTTCCAGCCTGATGAATCAACCCTTTGAAGTTCATTGCAACTGACGCTTACCTTTTGACACCCTCTGTCGGGAAGACAACGACCCTTCAAAGTGTCGAAGCCCGATTTGGCCCATGTCGAAAACATACGAGAAAACAAGAAACGACAACCACGTGGACTTTGGCGGGTAACTGGCTGAGCTGCACAAGTTCACACTGGAAAATACAAGAAGGGAACAAGGGCAAGCCCGTGTTTGTTTTATTGTTGTTTTTGAAGTTGTGGTTGGTTTAAATGCTTTCTTGAGGGAATTTGCGGGGAGGAGAACACTGTCATGTTGTGGCTGTCCCGAATAGGAAACCCTTCCTCTCATTGCTCCACAGACATGCACCCAGATTCACTGCTCAATATCCACAGCTCAGATCCAAAGTAATTGGGCCAACACTCGGAAACCAAGGCTCAGAAAGTCGGCTTGGCGCAACGGTGGGGTTGTAGCCGCTAGGGCACTTCCCTGGGTGTTAAACAGGGGGGTCGAATTAAAGGGCAAACGAAAGGAACACCTTCACGGGGGGGGGGGGGGTTCGGAAAAGAAAGGGAAGAAAAAAAACATCCCCTTTCGGCGTCCTTCTGGGAAGGCGATAAAAACTGAAACACCCAACTACTAACAGTGCAGCGTAGGGAGAGAAAGAAAAAGACGAAGGACAAAACATCCTCTTTTGGTGTCCTTTTTGGAAAGCAATAAAAACTATAACACCCAAGTACTAACATTGCAGTGTAGGGGGAGAGAAAAACAAACTTTGGTGTCTGTCTTGGGAAAACCAAGAACTGTGGGAGGGAGAACCCAACGCACAGCGCCCCGGCTTTGGCGACTCCAGGGCATTGGAGGTGTCGGAGCGCGTCACCACCTTGGACCGGTCACTACTTGGATCCCAGCGACCGGGCGACATGCCTTTGGTGTGAAACAAGGCTTCCTCGACGGCCTGGTGTTGGCCCCAAGCGCTTCTCCGAGAGCCTTGCTGCAGCTCCAGGCCCTCGAAGAAGACTTGCTTCTGGGAATCCAATAAAAACACCAGGCCCTCGAGGAAACCCAAAACAACACAAGGCCCCCGAGAGTTTGACACAAGGAGCCGGATGGAGCCGGGGTAGTTTGTTGTTTGCAATCACCAGTCAGCTGATATGAATTCTACCAAAAAACACCGGTTCGCTCACCCATGCTGCGATGCTTGCACAGCGACTGATCGGCGGCAACCAAGACTTGAGGTACCTCCTGCACAGCTAACAGAACACTGCCCGGGCTCACTTGCCCAAGTTGGGCTGTTCAAAGCTTTGGGAAAGCGCGGGACCAAATCCCTGTGCAACCCAAGGCAATGATTCAGGATTGCGTGCGAACAGCTCAAAGGCTCGGGCGTGTGAGAGGCCCGGACAATCCTACTGCATGGCTCGCAGGTGTAGGTGAACACCGGTCGGCTCGGCCTTTTCAGGTGGAAATCAAAGAACTGTAAAGAAGGCGCCTGCATCCCGCCTTCTTTCCCACAAAGGACATCCAATGCCAACCCCCCTCCCGAGAACAAGCACAAATGGGGAGTCTCCTGCATTCTTCCGCCTGCCATCACCCCACCAACAGGAACGTGACTTTAAGTTGGCCCCCAAAACCCGGGGCCCACTCGGCACTTACACAGCAACTAGCTTCTGACTCTGTTCCAATACTTCGTCTACCAAGGATCACATTTCCTAGGTTCTGCGGGGAGATTAGAATAAGGGTACCAACTTTTTTCGGTCTTGTCTATTTTAGTAGGGGAACCGAATCTCCCAACCAAAAGAGAAAAGGCGAGAGGTCGGGCACTGCTGGACCTAGTTTCTTCAGAGGAAACCTGGACTGGATCCATCGCCCCAACCCCACGAGGTCGAACCCGAGCCGCCACGATGAGCGGAATGCCGAAGTTGTAGGAGAGCACCACTTCGGCGCCTGCACACGCTGCGAAAAAAATCTTCCAATGGAAAACAGAAGGGCCTAAACGTTAAATGATTGAATGGGGTTGTGGGGTGCTTGCAAGTCACAGTTAGTCATGATTGCAGGAGATAACGATTAGTATCTGGCCGCTTGCATTCTGAGTTTTAATCGTCGAGGATGCAAATTTGGAGAGGACATGGGGATTTATGTCCACCAACCACTTTGGAGGTGGTTCCCTATTGAATGGCCAAGTAGGATCTGCGCCCATGTGGCTTGCCCCCAAAATGGGCATCTCTACGCGTGTCTTCCGCGACAGATGTCCCCTCAGAAATGGAACTCCAGATGTCGTTGTAGGTTCGGGGAAACCCCGTGCCCAAGTGTTGCAAGATGTTGCAAGGCAACATCTTCAAACTCGCATCGCCAAATCGCCACCAACTGGGTCCTCCAGTAGAGAGGTTAGAATAAGGGTACCCTGGGTACCCTTTTCTTCTGCAGTCTATTTTAGTAGGGGAACCGAATCTCCCAACCAAAAAAGGGGGCAAAAGGGCACCCTTTCGCTGAGGGACCTAGCCAAAGTTTCCTCAACAATCTCACATAGTGGAACCTCAAGCGCGCTTTGGCTTCCTTTAGCTTTAAAGCAACCGCAAGAGGGGTGTAAACCCTCAAAAAAGACACGCCCATTTCGCTGTGATGGAAGTGGATTTCGGGAGATAGCAAGTGAACCCTTTACGATTGGTTGGGTTCATTGGAAACGTGTGGAGTCCCTACTGTTGATGCAAACCCATATTCAACTCAAACCTGCGGGACATTTAGCGGCACTCCTTTGGATATGGTGTTGTAAGGGTTTCACCAAAGTCCATAATCATAAAGCTACGACACAATCCCTAGCGGCACGCTCCCTCACTGCCCAGGAGTCGGTTTTTTTCGAGCTGTCCAAGCTTCGCCCACTAGGAATTGGCCAACTCGGCGCTTGCCCCGAAGGTCCCCTTTTTGGTTGGTCCGAAGGGAACCGAAGAAAAACCACCAATTGTGAAGTGGGGTTCCCCTACTTTGAGACGAACACATTTCGTCACAAGGAGAAACCCATGTCCAAACAGATGCTCTACCTTTGGGGGTTGATCAAGGCTCGGAGCAATACCTGGTCATGTCCATTTCTGTTTTGATTATTCCCAAAGATATTGTCCACTGGGAGCTCATCCTGAACGGCTTGGACCACTCCAGAGCTGGGCCGTTTGCCAGAAAGGGGCGGGGGGGCAAACCGTGACAGCCAGGATGCTGGAAGTACTTGGGCGTTCGCCAAGCAAGTTGTTCGTAAGGTTGCAACCCATATGGACAAATGGAGTCAAGCCTGAACATCAGCGGGCTTGAAAGCAGGTGGCGCTAGGTCGCGAGCCACATACTAATTTGGCCTGAACGTCCACCGTGCGCCGACCAGCTCGAAAAGCCACGTGGGAATCAAATTAAATTGAATCTGCGCTGTCTGAACTTAGGACATGTGCATGTGGGGGGGGGGGGTTGTCACAAAGGGAGTCCTTTTTGAGTCTTGCATAAACTTTCGTGCCGTGCTATCGCGGGTCTGTAAAAGAGGGCACGCCAGCCACCAGAGGGGATCTTCCGGATTCCGAAGTTGACAGTCAGGAAGTTCAACGAGAGATCCTTGTACTGGCGGAAGCGGAGCGAGGAGTTGATTTTATGCGTGCAAAAGGGGTGGTCAAAGTCATATTGATGGGTTGAATTCCTCGGACGTGCGTGGATGGGCTTTGAAGTGTCCAAAAGCGCAAGACCTTATTTAGTTGCAGACCCCTCACGAAAGATCATCGAATCACCAGACACATGCCAACAGTCGGCATACTCCCCAGGTGCCCTCAGACCCTCCTTTCCCCCTTTGATGGGAAGGCCACATGGGCCTTCCGACGGGCCATCGATCCCATTCGATCCCATCCAATCCCAGACAAGCAAAGAAAGCCAGAACAAAGTGTCCACCGACTGCCAAAGGCTCGATCCTTTACCGACCGCAGGAATCCTACGAACTCCCACTGAGTGTGTGACAGGAATCCGGAAGGCCCTGTCCAAAAGGATGTCTTTGCGTCTGACGAAGGGAACCTTCCAACATAGGTGTCGGCAACTTTTGGTGGAGTGGTCTCGCCGCCGAAACTCTTCCTATCCGCCTATCCATCCCTGCAAGAAGTTCTCACTTCCACGCTTGGAGGGGCCAACTGAAGAGTCTTAGCCCCCCAAGCTGACCCCGAACCGGGCAGGGCCCTACGCATCACCCCAGGGCCCTGTGCCACTGAGACCCCCTGAGCGCCAGAGGTCCAGGTCACGCCTTCCGACTTGGCCTCGCTCTTGGCCTGGCAGGGCGGAAACCAAGGCTTTGCAGGGTCCGCTTCAGGACACTCCCACCTGTGGCTCTGGAAAATGGCCGCCCCCCTTTTCTTCTGCAAGACGCATTTTGTGTGATTTCGTGGTGGTGTCCTATTGACTCCCTGAAAGGAAACCACAAGCAATGTTTTATAGGGGTCAGTCCCCCTTCCCTCATTCCCTGCTGAGAACCAAAAAGTTGAACACCTTCCAACAGTATCCTCGCCTTCCACAACCGGCGTCTACGGGAAATGCGGGCTGAACAGCTCCCTCTCATGAGTCTGCAGCGGAAAAACGACTTCGCGCATCTTGGAACGACGTGATTCCGATTCCAGCAGTGTCCTTTCCCCGATTTTGGGCACCCGCCCTGTGATTCCCTGACAGGGAACTTGGATGACTAGCTCAGTAGTTCAAAACCCTGGCCGCAGGGGCTACCCTACACACAACCCGCTTAAGAAGCTGATGGGGGTCGTTAAGCCCTCGCATTGGTCATCCAAACTCCGAAACACCAAACACCGTGTTCATCACATTCTTTGATACCCAGCGTTCATCACATTTTGCGAAGCCCTACATACACGTTTCAACCACTCGCAAAGGTCATCCAAGAACTCACGGCGCTCACCGGGTGGTCGGTGCTCAACTCCCAATCCAACCCAATTTGTCCACGACCGTGTTTTGACCATGTCAACCCCGCTTTGGGGTCTCATCCAGGGGTCCCCTTCAACCTTTCCTTGGCGCCCAATGCGAACAATAGGCCCCACGCGTCCGTCTGTTTCCCGCAACAACCACAAGGTCCTTGTCCTGGTCACTGGTTTCCCCTTTTCGGGGCCCCGCCCTCGGTCAAAAGGCAACTTCAAGAGTGCTATTCTGGGCAGCTTGGCATCTCCTTGGCTCTCTTCCAAAAGTTTGTTGCTGTCCCCACCCTAAAGACCAGCTCATAGAGAAATCAATCGCCTTTTGGGACACCCTTGTTGGGAGTCCTTATGTTAACAGGGCAGCAAGCAGATAAGCAATGTAAGTCGACACTCCGATACCACCAAAGAAGAGGGCTCTGCCTCGAGCAGCTTGGAGTCGCAACCCAGCGCGATGCCTTGCTTCTTGCTTCCGTGATGGTCGTTGCCACATCCTCTTGGACTGGCTCCACGTACGCGTCTAGGCCTGACGCCACAGGGCCTCTGGTACTGTTCAAGGCGGACAGGTGGGGGCGCAGAGTGCTCGACTTTGCTTCGGGTGGTCCTAATCAGCTCAAGCAGCAGCCGGCGCCGGGCCTGAGCATCCTGGCATGGGACTGCAGTGCACCCGTCCCACTGCCAAGATGTGGCCATACGCCGCTTCTCTTGGAAGGTGAAGTCCCAAGCACGCTAGCCTTGTCGTCCCCTCGCCTCAAAATTCAACGCAGTTCTCCCGTTCCCTCGAATGGATGCAGAGGAGTTAATCGGGAAAACTGGACTTTGACCCCCAAATGCCAAATCCCCTTGTTTGACCAGGTCCTCCAGTAGAGAGGTTGGAATAAGGGTATCCTTTTTTCTGTAGTCTATTTTAGGGGAACCCTCCCAACCAAACAAAAAGTGAGAAAGGGCACCCTTTCGCTGGGGGACCCAGCCGAGGCCCCCACCAACAAGAAACGAAAGGGGCCCCCAGAAACCGCAGCCCAGCAGTCCCCCAAGGCCTGGCTCTCTGCCTCAGTGTCCGGTGCCTCTGGTGCCTGGCAGGTCGCATGGACCTCTAGGACTTCAAAAAAATGGACATGATTGTGCTGTCCGTACTGTCCTATGGAAAGTCGTAGAGCTCCAGATTGCTTCTGTGCACACCATTTCATTGATAACTGGGGGGTGTCTCTCTTTGAGGGTACCTATCATAGCTCAATTTGGTGCTGAGGTACCCCCACAACCCCATGCTACGTAAGCCACTTACAGCACATTTGTTGGGCTCGCTGGCATGCAGAAAAGGGAACGGTGGATACCAAACCTGCCCACACAATGTGATTGTACATAGGTGTGTCTATTTAACCCTTTTCACCTTGCTTTGAGAGCCAAAGGGAAAGCCACCATTTTGGGAAATGGTCCTCCTCCCCTTTGACACAAACCCGCACACCCCGAGTTCATGATGGACGAAGGAAATCCCGCTCACAGAGACTCTTTCCTTGATTCCAATTCCAGTTTTGCATCTCTCAACCAGCTGGGACTTCGGAAATCAGCTTTGGCGAAGAATGAAGGGATACGAACGGAGATGAGGTAACCAGAGCTTCATTCACCCACCCACCGCGCTGGTAAGGCCGTACCCCGAAATGTGTGCATAACACCCTTTTAGCCCTTCAAGACGAGCTCTTCCAAAAGCCCTCAGAAACAGTACGACCTTTTGCAACTCAATTCTGGAACCTTGAAGCAGAAGTTTCAGACGCATGCATTTGGTGTGTCTGCCTCATGGGGAACCCATTTTCTCCAATACACTGTGGGTGTGTTTTGTGGACCCCTCCTGAGATGTGGTGTTTCGGAGAGGTTAACCAACCGTCACCTGTTTAGATATCAAAGAGAGGCCCAGGTGTAGAAACCCTCGATTACGAGTCGATTTGTTTTCTCGCCATGCCGGGTTTGGCAATGACGATGGAGCTTGCCCTCAATTTACCAACCATTGCCGAAACTGCAAATGTTGGCCGTAGCTCGCATGACCTCCATACCTCTGATGATATATCGGTGTGTTTCAACATGGAGGAACCCCCCCCCCCCCACACAGGAGCTTAACAAACAGAGGGGGTCAAAAGTTCTCAAAATTCTGGAAACCCCCCTTTTCGTTGGTCAAAGGGAAGCTAAATGGACACCGACTTACTTTGGATGCACGAAATCTTGCACCATCATCACCATCTAAGAAACCCTGGAATGATGATGCTCTTGTAAATTCAACAAACTATGATTTCAACCATGGCTTCAAAGTGGTGCGGTTCCGGATTTCGTCGATCCACAGGGAACCGCTTCCGAGTTGCCCTCCTTCCCCTTCCCCGTCCGAGGGGCCTCGTACTCCGCCAGCTCCTCGGAGACCTGCTCCCGGAGCCGGTCCTCGCTGACGCGGCGGAAACGCCCCAATGAAAAGCCGCGGTAGTCCTAGTGGGTGTCAAATGGGGATAAGAACACAAACCAGGGGGTTCAGGGTTCCAGTTGTTGTTTTGAGGGGCACCAAAAGGAAAACCACCTTTTGTGGAGTCAGCTATTGAAAAAGACATGGGTGCCAGTCGGAACCCGGAGCTCATGGCATTTTGACACTCGAAGACTCGACGAGATTGATAACGCTCTGTTCATAAGTGGCCTTTTGGACAAAATAGATGGGTTTCCCTGCCAAATGGAACAAAACCCATCTAAACCAGTGGGACACATCCATTCTTAACCAGGCTCATCACCTAAAAAGGACACCTATGTGCACCGGTTTTTCTCCGCCTGCACTTCGCTGTGTGTGTGTGTGTGTTTTTTGAGGTGGTCCGACGTCCCCTTCTTCTTTCCTACTGGACACGCACCCATCATCACCCCACCAAAAGAAAGCTCATTTTTTAACTGGCAACCAAAAGGCGATGATAAAGCCAAAAGGCGAAATCCCTGTACAGGGTCACCATTCGCTTTACGGTTCAAGCATGACTCAATCAACAGAGGATTGTGCCAAGCGCCAAAACCTCCACGCTGCTTCTTCCCGCGTCTAAGACCCGTCCAAAAACCAGTTTGGAGTTGCTGGGCAGCGGAGTGTGGCGATCTTCCTCTTGGAAATTTCCTGATTTAATGGATCCTTCCGCCGCCATTTGTTCAGCCCCTCGTTCCACGCTGTTGAGCGATTTTGGTTCGCGCAGGAGGGTAGGGCCGTTGAAGAGGCATGAACAACCCGGGGTTGCTCGCCAACGGTCTCCTCAGTGGAGTCCTTCTCATGGTGAAATATGAGATTTCCTTCAAGGGTTCCAACAAGGCTCGTTCATTGTGTTTTAGCAACACCAGGGCATCCCGGTTTTCTAAGCAGCACCTTGGATTCCACCAAACCGATCAATATACCCGTCTCTTTTAGGGCAAATTTGCATTCCAGCGAGCCCCCTTTCGTGTAAACCCCCTCCCCACCCGGTCCGACAGGATGTCCGAGAGGGCACTCTTGAAAGACTAGCAACCAATTAACCAATGACTGATGCTTCAGGGCCTCGATTTCAAAACAGTCTTCCAAAAGAACCCGCAAGCTTTGGAAAAGGATGCCTGCAACGGCCGCGCGGTTCATACAGACTTTGACTCGATGGGAATGGGGAGTTTAAGCTAGCAAACAAAGTTTAACAAAGTAGCTCTTTTGGGGCAAGCGGTGCCATTCTGCAAGAGGAAACGTACAATTTGATGCTTCCCCCTACGTCACTCCTGAAAGAAGCTCGCTCAACTTGGCCAAAAACATTGCTAAAAACAGGAACAAGGTCAAATATATAAGAAGCCCGGCACTGGTAATTCAAGCCCCAACCCTATTTGAAGAAACCCCCGGTGAATTTCTTGTAGCTCGCTTATATGCTGCTCACTCCAGGGGCCAAAACAAGTTTAGGCTTGTTGGGCTTTTCTTTTCAATAATCAAATACCTCAGGACATAAAATCTACACCGTCCTCTCGTCCTCCAACATGGCTAAGGGTCCCTTCAACCAGGCAAGCTCCAGGTACTCAGCGGGGGGAAGGCTTCCGTCTGCCCAGTCTCCTGCTCGCCCAACGGGAGCTGCTGCATCCTCAGGTGGCAAACCGGTCTAACTTGGGTAAGTTGGATGGTATGAGGAAACCACCAGGAAAGTCGTTGCCATTTTTGGTGGGTCTTCTAAGTTTGATACACCCAGTTGGTTTGGTTTGGATCGCCCTCCGGGCGTTTGGGGTTCAACTCTTGAAACCAATTCACATCCCTGTCAAACAATGCAGCTCCAGGTGTCCAGTGGAAATCGAAGAGTTCCTGGTGTCTCCTTCCCGAGTTTGGATTGGCCCAGTCGATTGCGACCACAAGGGTCTTGCCAAAAAGTTCAGTCCAGGAACTCAGGAAGTGAGACGGATGATTCTTCGGTCAAGTGGAAAGGCGCCAATCCCTGACGTGTTTTGTGTCCGTTTTAAGAGCACCGTGGTGTGACAAATGAGAATAAACCTCCCAGCAAGATGCGCTCGACTCCCGAGGAACATATCCCGAACATATGGTAGAAGATGCCCAGAAGTTTTGGCGCCGGGATTGTTCCCGGGGGGTTGAGTAATGGCTTCCTCCAAATTTGGCCTTCCTTTTCCCACTATCTTGAAAGGATGGCTTTCCCTCTGAAGAAAACTATGCTTTCTAATTTTTCCCTTGGCGGGCCTTCGCCCATTCTGAAGTTAAGCGAAGGCCAAATGAGCCGTCCAAACACCAAGCGTCGCTTGGGGCAGGTAGGGCTGATCTGACAATATGGTTTGTAAAGATTCTGAAAAATCATGATCATGGCCCACACAAGGGATTTTGACCGTACGAGTAGCACCTGTAACAGGCTCATGTGTCGGGGGTTCAACTTCCTTTGATCAATGTTCCCTCCTTTTCATGACGTAAGCGGGGAATGACACCTCAAATGGACCCCTATTTGCACACAAACAGACGAGGTCCCAAACTCGAACGCCACACGAGCAGCTGACAACAGGATTGCTCCAAGCCTCCAACAAATGAACAAACCCTCCAGGCTAGAAAGCTAGTTTTATTTCCTTTGGTTTCCAGTTTCGCCAGGGAACGCATTTGTACCCTTGTGTTCTAATTGGAACTTTGGGGCTATTATTCGCCAACGACATGGGGGGCGGCCGTCTTGGGGAAGCTACTATTTGACATGAGACATTGTTTGATTCCTCTTGGGGGCGGAGTCGAATTGTGAGATAAACTCGAGCGTCCACACATCTTATGGTCCACCAAGGAAATGACCCCACATGGGCCGTCTGCTGTTCGTGGTACTCGTTTTTGGCCGGTGTTAAAGGGAAACCAAAAGGAAAACCGTGGTGTCTCTAGGGTCTTGGGTTTCCAGAGTGCAAGCCGGGACGAAACACAAAACACCTACCTAGACATCCTGCGGAGACCTGACCTGCAGCCAAAAATACGAGTACAAAAGTTGTTTTGGTGAATAGGGTGAACCCCGACGACCAACGCCCAAAAAGTTCAAATTTTAGTAGGGGGGGGTGTTGCAAGTAAAACCTAAATACAAAGCTGCACAACCATGTTGACAGAACCAAACGCCGGTGGGTTTTGGGCGATGCTCAGTTGCTTAAGTATCTCTATTCAGGTTTCCCGTTGAAGAGGTCCAAGGTCTGGACAGCTCGACCAAGGTGAATAGCTGATTGTGTTCTGCAAGGACTCGTTGATTGTGGGGTGCTTCGACCCATGTCAGACTCGAGTTCTGGACTTAAAGCTCGGCGGATTTCCTTTTCCCCTGCAACATGCATCGCAGTCACTGCACCGGCCGATCATAGAGGCCTGTTGGGCTGCAAATGGAAACCTGGCTTGGGCAAAGCCCCCGCCGGGAACCAACTCCTTTCGCGACCTGGCTGCAAAGGCCCTCAGGAAATCGGCTCGAATGGAGGAGATGCACTGGTTGGCGTGCTAGCGAGGGTTGTCCTCTCTCAGTTCAAATGGTCCACATGCTTGGGCTCAAGGTTGCTAGCTAGAAATTGCGGACCAATCCAAGCTTCTACCACAAGACGCTCTTTGAGCAATTTGGCTATGGGCTATATAGTCTGGAGCCTGCTATTATAGAGGTACACCCCTTAGGGTTGACGAGGTTCCAAAACGGAATCCAGTAGTACTTGAACCTGATGGTGCATCATTTCTCTGGGCACATTGCATTGATTTACCCATGAGGCCATGGGCTCTGTAAGGGTTGCAATTTTGCTGGCCAAACTGGTCGGTGTTAAAATGGTCTACCCAGAAGCATGTAAAGAATGAAAAAGGCAGCGGAGGCACCCATCTATGCTTGGGATTATCCCTCACTTATCTTCATCTACCCAAATCGGTTTCGACTGTGGCTCATTGATGTTTGGACTAAGGACTTAAACGGACAACCCTAGCACGCATCGCATATCTTCTGGATGGGCATTCTCAGCAGCGACGCTGCTCTCCGCATGACACCCTGCGGGTATCTCTTGCGGCTGTCATCGGCATCCTGCAGGGGGTGCGAAAGTGATATGGAATATGTGGGTGGACCCCCCAAAATGGTTTCGGTTGTACTTTTGGTTTCTTTTAAAAGCCCGCCAAACAAGGGGTACCCGGAAAGAAAAAAAAAAGCACACGCTCATGTGCTGCTATGAGTCAACCTTGCGGGCTCCCCCCCCCCCTCTCAGCCCCCTTTTCCCCGTTGCCCCAAATACCCAACAAGTCCTCATTCAGGCCCGGGAACTAGGCAAAGAGAAGCTGAGGTGAAATCTGACTCTCTTTGCCGAGTCGTTGAGTCTTTGGCCCTGGCCCTACCTGAACTTTGATCGCCCTCCCAGAATCCACGCCAGCACTTTGGAAGGAATCAAGGCTGCCACTTTCGTCAGAGACCCCAAGTACCCACCACTTCATGGCTCGTTTTCTTAATAACAAACGGTCCTCAACAAACAACCCTGGTCCAACCACGTTTCTTCATTGTTTTGAGCTGAGGTACCCGGGTGCCCCAAACTTCCCCCTTAAACATCCCCATAGAAAGGAGGCTGACTTTTCAAACTGGCCGAATGGTGATACTCGAAACAGACCAAAAGGACATTTAGTGGGACATATCACCTTTTTGGTGGTTTTCCACAACGGTCATCCCATTTAAAGGACCTTTTGATCAACCCCCACGTAATGATAGCCCACATTGACAAGCGCCTGGTTGATTAAGAAGGGGTCCTTTTGGTGGGTCCTTCACTTGGGTGATTTTATAGTAGGATGGGTTGAGTTTGTCCGGGGTTCCAATGTTGGAGAATGCCCAACTTGAGCTTCCTGCAAGCAGCGCTCCACCTCTGAGTGATTCTTCTGGGCTGCACACTGCAGCGGCGTGCGTTTACCGCTGCCGTCGGTGTTGGCGTTCGCCGCCAGCAGGCCACGCACAACTTCCAGGTGGCCCTTCCTAGCCGTGCGGAAGCGGGGGGACGGTGTCTTAGGGCTGTTTTTTCTTTTGAAACGAAAACCCTACACAAAGACATGGCGGCAAAGCATTCCCTCTGTTGGCAGGACAAGCCGCCAAACAAATGGGCGGGGAAGAGGGACGCCCTGGCTGGATGCTCAAGGGAAGCCTACCAAAGAAAGAGCAAAACGGATGTCACTGAGCAGCTGGGTTTCTTGGCAGCAAGATACAAAGGAGTCCGGCCGTCCTTGTCCTTTCTATTCATTTCCGCCCCGGTATCGAGCAAGCAGCGCACAAGCCCCAAGCGCCCATTCTGAGCAGCAAGATGCATCGGAGTGGCACTGTTCTTGTTGCTAGCATCCTTGACAGCGCCTGCGTCTAATAAGCAGCTCGCAACTTCCAAATGGCCTTGCCTTGCAGCAAGATGCAAAGGAGTCCGGCCATGTTTGTCCGTCTTCTCCTTGTCAGCACTGGATTCCAGCAAGCAAGATACAACTTCCAGGTGCCCACTGTGGGTGGCAAAATGCAGCGGCGTGAAGCCTTTCTTGTAGGTCTTGTCTTTGTCATCGCCCGCTTCCAGCAAGCACCTCACCACCTCCAAGTGGCCCTTCTTTGCGGCCACGTGCCTCAAAGGTTCTTTGATCCCTTGTATTAAATATTTCAGGATGCGTCAGAAATCCCCCCAAACGCTACTAACCAACTCCGAGATGCAGCGCTGTCGCGCCCTGACCATTTTCCTTGCACGATAGCAAGCAGCGCAGAACTTCGATCCGCCCGAATCTGGCCGCGAGGTACAAAGGAGTCCGGCCATCCTTGTCCTCCAGGGTCGAACTGTTGATATCATGCTAGTTTTAAGCATCAAATTGGGCATCGACCATGCTGCACCTGTAGATGGACAACTATGCTGAGCCCTTCTTGTTTTAGAAAATTTAGAGTCCCCCAAGACCCTCTCAAACTCACACCCCCCCCCTAGTGAGGAGGAAAAGGAGCGTCCTCATACTTTGTTGAACTCTCCCCAACAGTATAATCACTTCTAGAGTGGATGGGCCAAAAACCCGCCACAGCCAAACTGTTCGAGCGCCAAATGGCTCCTTCCCAAAACAGCTGAAAGTCCGCAACGGACCTCAGGACTTGAGTGCGACCGGCTGGGTCCTGCTGATCGCTCTTGGCGCCGGCCTCCAGCAGGCACCTCACCACCTCCGCCTGGCCGCTCTGTGCCGCGAGGTGCAGCGAGGTGAAGCCGCTCTCGTTGCCTCCAGTGGGGAGCTGTGGGGGCTGTGGGGGGCTGTGGGCTGTGGGGGGCTGCGGACCCCCAAGTGAAGGACACCCCCCCCAAAAAAAAACAACAAAAAATGGCCGCCCCCAAAAGAACTGGGAAAGTGTAATGATGGGAAAGCGGCGGGAAAATGCGGAGTGGTGGAAAACATACCCCGTGAGAAAATGAGGTGGACAAGGTTAACGGGGGAAATGGAGAAGAAGGGGAGACCGGGGAAATTGGGCGGAAAGGCGCGAGCAAAACTGAACAAGGGGAAATTAGTGGAAACGCGAGAAACATTGAACAAGGGGAAGCATGAGAAACGAAGGAAGTTGCCAAGGCAAGTAAACAAAGGAAAACAAAGAAAAACCGGGAATGTGTTTGGCGCTAAACCCGCAAAAAGGCACCCCAGGTGCCCCATGACTTAAAGGGACCAATTTCTGAGAGTTGACCAGCTTTTGTAAACCGAAACACAAAGGCGAAAAAGGGTGCCACCGAACTGCTGCAGCACAAGGAAAGATGGAAAAGCTCTATGGGTTGATTCCCCCTTCTTTTCAACCATCGTTCTTTTCAAAACCAGCCGCTTTACCTGGGTTTCTGGAGGTTTTCAAGAAAGAAGGATCCCTGGAAAGAATGGGGAAGATACCCCCTAGAAAAGCAGGGGGCCGAACTGGTCTGCGTCTGGGTTGCCCTTGTCCTTGTCAGCGCCAGATTCCAGCAACGCAACCAGGACTTCCAGGTTCCCCTTCTTCGCGGCGATTTGTAGTGGAGTCTGGCCGTCCTTGTCCGCCTTGTCATTGTCACCTTGGGGCCCTAGGTCTGCGTAGGATGACAGGGTTTTGGTCTTTTGACATGGTTGCATGCAACTTTGCGTGGCTCCGATACCTAAAAAACTGTGCACATTAAGGGCCCGGATAAGTAGAACTGACTTGTGGGCTACTTTAAACCAAATTAAGACGAAATCTTGCTACTTCTTCAGTCCCTCATATTGCCCTAGCCACAGAAAAGCATCACCTTCTCTGTCGGCTTTTTGGAGAGAGCCACAAAAGGGATGTGACTTGGGTTTCCAGGTGTGGTTTTTTGAAGTGTAGATGCTTGCTTCCAAAACCCATACGTCAAACTGCCCTTGGCCTGAAAGGAAACTTCGCCGGATAAAAAGCTCAAAAGATAGCAGGCACCCTTCAAAAAGGACACATTCCCCTGTTTGCAAAGACTAGCAACACTTAAACACTTGGCTTGACGATATTTCGCTATAAGAGAGCTTCACTAAAGCTTATAGGTGCTCGTTCTGGCTGTTCGGTGAAACCTTGTCTTGACATTTTTGATTGCGCGCATGGGTTGGCTTCTGGACTTGTCGACATTGGCTCCACCTGCCAACCGCAAAGGACTACGTTCACTTCGCAAAAACCGCGTCAACTCAAGTTGGCCATCTGTTCGGCGCGAATTTCTCTTCGGCACACGAAATTACTCATCCAGGGGGCCTTGGGCATCCAGCAAGCAGCGCACCACCGGCAGATGGCCCTTCCTCGCCGCCAGGTGCAAAGGCGTCTGGCCCTCCTGGTCTGGGGTTCAGATTCGGGATCCTCCCAAATAGTGGCTCCTTTTGGGTCTCCCCGTAAAACCAAGTGGCTCTTCTTTGGGTCTCCCCCCGAGTGGCTCTTTGGGTCTGTCCTGGAAAACCCAACCCGACAAAACAAAACAAAAAACCTACTTAAAAGTTCCACCAAGTATCTTTTGGGCTCGGTACGGTAACTAACCCACTAGAGCTTCCTCCCACTTCCGAAAGCTTAATTGGATACGAGGCTTGCCACCGGACCTCTCCACTCTCTCAAGGCCGAAGCTCGGAAAAACCAACGGCTCGTGACTCAGAGGGTCCAAGTGCGTCACCGTTGGTGTGGTGAAACGGCGTTGGTTAGGGATGCTCTTGTTCCCTGCACTTGCCTTCAGGAACATGACCCTATGCCATTTATGCTGATTCACATTGGAAATAGGAAACCATCATAGAGAAAACTCCTTTTGGGGCTGTCTATTGCCCCTATATATATATATGTATATGTGTGTATCCCCGAGCAGTTAGAAGTTAAAGACCAACCAAATAGCATTCAAAGGCAAAATGGGGCGGGGGTTCGTGTCCTCTATCTATGTTTAACTGCACCGACGGTCACAGACACGCCGGGGTTCCTCATAGTGTTTGTCGCCATGGAAAACACATGACACAGAGGACCCCATCATCCATATACCCAGAACCCGCATAACCCCATACACCCAGATTTCGCAGAAGCCCCATAAACCCCTGCAGCCCCATATGGCTGCACCACCCGTTTTAGTCTTTCTTTAGTGGTTGGTTTGGGATGTTTACTTGGGGTACGATTTGGATTTTGACCCATGGCCATATATCCAGGGTTTTTTGAACGAGCCAAGGGGAAAAGAATCGCCGGCCGCCTGGTCCGCCCTTTCCATGTCCGCGCCAGCCACCAGCAGGCAGCGCACCACGTCTTCCCGGCCCTTCTTGGCGGCCACGTGCAAAGGCGTGCGCCCTTCCTTGCGCATTCGGTCTTAAACAAACTAAACGTTTTAGGTCATGAATCCCACGAACCCGGCGATTTCTGAAGCCCTGATTGTCTTGTTTTAGCTCGCAGTTTGCTTTCGTCAGGCAAGAGGAAACGGACCCCCCCCTTCAAACAAAACCAATCCAAATTGCAACTTACGCCCAAGCAAAAATAATTGTCAAGCAATTTCCAAGTTGCAGCAAGCCGCTTTCAAGGGGGTCAACTTCATATGTCAAGCAAAAACCTGTCCCCGGACGGAATCCTCTTTGGACCTGGCGCAAGAACCGCCGCTTGAATTCGAGCTCAAGAGCTGAGCCCTGACAGCACAGAGGCCCATCGAAGCGAAGCCTGGGAGTCCCCCCCTGGGGAGGTCTTTGAAGTCAGGCCCTTTTCTGCATCACAGACTCGTGGGTTCCGTTTCACACAGCCCCTGAATTGGTGCAGCTTGAGCGTCGTTGTCCGCCTTGTCCTTGTCTGCGCCAGCATCCAGAAAGCAGCGAATCACCTCCGAGTGCCCGTGCAGGGCAGCCGAGTGCAGAGGGCACACGCCTTCCTCACGCGTTCGGTGAATTAGGTGCTAAGGGCCTGGAGAAAAAGAAAAAACAACTTGTTGGTTGCCTTTAAAGAACATCACGCATTCTAAACGGAGTGCTCCCCCCCCTGAGGTTAACATGGAACCCGCAAAACGGTGTTTTTGGAGGTGCTTGCTTTTGGTAAACTCTTTTTCCGCACCATGTAAAACAAAAGTAGGGGAGAAGCAGAACGCTGATCCATCCCCATTCAGCTCTGAGCTACTCCATGAAAAGCAAAACTTCAGCCCGCCAGCATCTTGGAGCACATTTCACCCAAGGAAAGGGATTTGGTTTTTCCATCGCGCGGGGTCCTTGTCACCCTGCTCCGGGTTGGCGCCAGCTTCCAGCAAGCCTCACTCAACCGGCATGCGAACTCCGCTTTTTGCAGCCCCCCTTCCCAAAACAACGGCACAACATGGGGCCGGGCAAAACAAACAAACACGAAGATCTGACCTCACCAAGAACCTCCCCACCCCTGAGTGGACGTCATGATGGGGGGCGCTTCAGCAAGGCGCCCTAAACATTGAATAGGAGAAGGGGCACGAAACAACCTTAATCACAAAAATGACCTTTGTGTATAGTAGGGACAGTATGCAGCGCAGAAAAAGGGCCCGTTATACGTTCTATACTTGTGGGCCGGGACTTCTCCCTATACGCTACATCGGAAACAGCGTCTTCATTGTTCCTAAGCAACCAGGCTACAAACTGCGGTCACATATGACAAGGGCAAGGAAAACAAGCAACAAGGGTTTCCAGCGGAGAAAAAAACAAGAGCACGAAAATGGTTTCAGCTTCCTCTCCGCCTCCAATGCCAGATGGCCAAACCAAGACCCCCTCCAGAAAGATATTTTTGCTGATTACAAGGGCTGGCCCACGTCTGGGCTACTCCCAAAAAGTGTTTATTCTGGTCATTTTGGATAAGACTCCAGGGATTGACTCCGCACTCGTTGACATCGCTCTTTCCAAGGTGTTACCCCAGGTGGTTTGGTGGCTCTCTGGTAAGGACCCGT